TAGCCCCTCTGGTCAAATGTAGCCAGGAGACATTCTCTGTAGCAGGTGGGGCTGTGACTAACCTCGCTGTCTGGGCATAGGCAAACTGGCCTGTACGGTGGGTGAAAATCCTCATATGATATGAATTAAGCAGATATGCACCCTGCTGTGCTCATTGGTCAGAGTGTGTCACTGATGTCGTTCTGCACATGAGCAAAGTCACCCGTTGGGATAATAACAATGATGTTGCAGGTACAAACTCAGTGTGCCAAGGTTTAGGTGCTGGTTATTGCAAGCTCCTCCCTGCTTCTCTGTCACTGTCAAATTCCCACTGATTGAGCCTCACAAGCTTCCCTGCAATCCCCATGGATAAATATCAAAGTAGTGGCTCTGGCAGGGCAACCCATAATACTGGGGTGGGGGGTAGGGTGGTGCTGCTGGTGCTGGTTTTTGCCATGGATTTTCTTTTTCTGCTGGAGGAGCCAAAGGCTCAGGGGGAATATCCTCGAATGGTGCTGCATTGACTTAGGGGTACGGCTATGCAGTCAACATGTAGCCACTTCTCTTACCCTTATAATGTGGTCTGTCTTGGTCTTTAGGGTATGGGGGAGAGGGGGGAGGGAAGGGATGTTTCAGCCTTACCCCTGTGTGCTAAGATTCTCTTAGGGGTATCTTCTTCCTGAATACTTGTGAGTTATCGTTCTTGTGAGGAGTAACAAATTCAGGAACAACCTATGTTGTCGTTTTAGTGACCTATCAATTTCCTCTTTAATCCTGGAAATAATCTTTGTTCTGAAGTCTCTATTATCTGATATTACAGTATTTACACATCAGCTTTCCTCTGATTATGTTTGCATGATATAACTTTTTTCATCCATTTATTTTTAACGTTTAGCCTTCATACATAAAAATAACTTTTTTGCAGATATCATGATTTATGCGATGTGACACTTCCTACCATTTAACTTGGTGGGTTTAGATCATTTACATTCTATGTAATTATTGATAAAACTAGATTAAAACCCAACATCTTATTAGTTGTGTTCTGATTGAGCCAGTTGTTCTTTTTCCTTTCTTTTCTGCCTTTTTTGGATTAATTTAGATTTCTTTTTTGTCATTAGATTATTGTGTCCATTATATGTACATTTTAAAATGTTTTATCTTGAAATAATTTTAGACACACCAGAGGTTGCAAAAAAATAATAGTTTCTGTGTAACCTTAATCTAGCTTCCCTAATGATAATTTCTTATATAACCATAGTCCATAGGACCAGGAAAATGGCATTGGTATAAGAATACTTTCTACCATCATAATTCCATTGTTTTGAAAATGTTATAAAAAATGGTGTCACATATGTAAACTTTTGAGACTGGCTTCTTTCCATCAGTATGAGACCTCTGGATTCATCCAGTTTGTTGTGTTTATCAATAGTTCATTCCTTCTTTTTTTTTTTTTTTTTAAGTTTATTTATTTTTGAGAGAGAATGAGAGATAGCAGGGGAGGGGCAGAGACAGAAGGAGAGAGAGAGAATCCCAAGCAGGCTCCACACCATCAGTGCAGAGGCTGATGCAGGGCTTGAACTCACAAACCTTGTGATCATGACCTGAGCCAAAATCAAGAGTCGGACACTTAACTGACTGAGTTACCCAGGTGCCCCAATAGTTCAATTCCTTTTAACTGAGTATTCCATTGTATGGATATACTACAATTTGTTTGAAGGACATTTGGACTCATAAAGGGGTCTGTGTAAACCAAAGTTTTCATTGCTCTAGGATAAACATCCAGGACATTTAAGATTTTTTTATGATTATATTTTATCTCCTGTATTGGTTTATAAACTGATTGAAAAACTTTTCTTTTTCTTCAATTCTGTTTTTTATTTCTAGCACTTCCATTTTACTGTTGTTAAATTGTTCATATTGCTGTGGCACCTGGGGACTCAGTTGGTTGAGGGTCCAACTCTTGATCTTGGCTCAGGTCATAATCTTATGGTCATGAGATTGAGCCCTGCATTGGGCTCCGTGCTGAGCATGGAGATGGCTTAAGATTTTCTCTCGCCTCCCCTGCTCACACATGCATGTTGTCTCTTTCTCAAAAAAACTAAAAATAAATAAAATATTCATATTTATTCTGAAATTCTCCACCTTTTCATGTATACTGTTTACCTTTGCCACTAGATCATTTAACATATTATTCATAGCTTTCTACAAGACCTTGTCTAATAGTTCTACAGTCTAAGTCATTTATCAATTTGACTTTATTATTTGCTTTATCTCTTGAGAATGGATTATTTTTTTTAAAAATTACTTTTGTTTATTTCATAATTTCTATTATGTGTGAGAAATTATATGTAGAAGAATAGAACAGTCTGAGATAATTGATACTTAGACCCAGAAATGGGCATGCTTTTTTGTTTTTTTGAGGGGGGGTGATCAGGATGATAGTGTGGGAAGGAGTGAGACAATCTCATCAGTAATGAGTTTTATTTAGGTTCCCTTATATTTAGGTTCTTCTTTTGTTACATTTGCCTTCAATACACAACAAACTTTGAACTCCCCCAGCAATAGGATGCTTCTACCTTGTGCTAGTATGTGCCAAGGTTTTTTGTTTTGTTTTTTTTTAGGTATTCCAGCTGCATACTCCAGTTGTCCCCACATGCCTGCACTGAAGACTCATGTCTCTCTCCCTTGATAGACTGATCTTCGTGGTTTCTCAGTGTTAAGTTCCTGGTAGGGGGCAGGGGACCTCTTAAGTCTCCTAGTACCAACTCAATGTAAGGCAGGCCCCTTGATCCAGCTGAGCCTTACACGTGGGACTTCCCTGGAGTTTCTGCCTCTCCCCCAGCTATAATGGATCTCTGTCTCATAACAGTGCAAGTTCCTGATTTCGACAGGGTTTTCTGCCTAGCCTGCATGGGTAAATAGCTTTTGTTACGAACCAGCACCCAGAAGCAATTTTGCCTAATATAAGGTTCTGGAAGTAGGTACTGGACTTAGTAGTCCACTAATGGGGGTGCTCTATGATCTTCTAGTCAGCACCTGGTAGAGGCCAATGGAAATAAAGCGTCTGAGTGAGTGTGGACTTTCTGTGTCAAGACCCCCTTATTCTGAATAGTCAGGATAGCCCATGCCAAGTCTTTATAATTTTCTTAAAATTTTAGCCATTTTCTTTTTATCCACTTTTATGGTAACTACCCTCATGCTAACCTTGCTCTGTCAGGTAATAAATTTTCATGTTTCATCTTTCCTCTCAACAAACTCAATAAAAGAAGAAAGTTTTCTGAACCTAAGAAAGCATATCTATGAAAAACTTAAAGATAACATCATAATTAATGGTGAAAGGCTGAATGTTTTCCCCCTATGGATGACAGCAAGGCAAAGTTGTTCAATCGTATTGCTTCTACTCAAAACTGTATTTGCATTCCTTCAATGTGATAGTCAAGAAAAATAAATAAAAGATTACACCCATGTCTTTATGTGCAGACAAAATGATGTTCTATACAGAAAATCCCACAGAATTTACCAAAAATCCATAAGCATTAATAAGTGAGCTCAGCAAAATCAAAGGACAAAAGTTCAATAAATAAAAAGAGACAATAATTCTGCATTTAGCAATAAAAAGTAGAAATTTAAATTTAAAAATACTATTTACAAGCGCCTAAAAAGACGTGAAATCACTAGAATAAATCTAGCAAAATGTATTCACTGAGACTAGAAAACAAGGCTAGGAGAAATTAAAGAAGACACTCTTTCCATAGATCAGGACATTCAATAGTATTAAGAAGTCAGTTCTTCCAAATGAATTTATAATTCAAAATAACTCCAATCAAAATTGTATATACTTAACAAACTAATTGTAAAACTCATCAGGCTTTTTATAAAATTTAACCTGTGTCTTCCATATGACCCAACAGTTCTATTCCTGGTTATTTACTCAAGGGAAATGAAAATCTGTCCATATAAAGATCTGTACATGAATGATCACAGCAATTTTACTCACAATGGCCCAAACTCATAAGACACACCAAATGGTCATTAGCTGGTGAAGGAATAAATCCATACACTAGAATATTATTCAGAAATAAAAATGGAAAAAACGAAATGACATAGGCAAAAAAATGGATCAGTATTCAGAAGCTTTATGCTAAGTGAAAGAAGCCAGACACAAGACTATATACTATATGATTCTATTTTTGTAACATTCAGGAAAACACAAACCTACAGTGATAGAAAGCAGATGTGTGAATGCTGAGGTGCAGAGGGCAGGTGTGAGGCAAAGGACTACAAAGGTGCATGAAGAACTTTTTGTGGTAATGGAAATATTCTTTATCTTGTTGGTGCTGGTGATTGACTCTATGTATTGGACAAGTCTCATCAGGCTATACATTTTAAAAGGATGAATTTCACTGAATGTAAATTATAGCTTAATATACCTTACTTAAAAAATTATCTTATAAAAAAATCTCAGAATTGGAAAGGAATGACACTCATTAGCATGTCTAAGTTCTACAATGCTAGTAAAAACAACAATGTGTGATGAATCTACTTTATATTCATACTGAGATTTAAAACTCTAACACCTCTAATTTGCACTTTTAGACAAATAGAATATGAGCACATCTATCTCTGTAGGGAACAAGAAACATAATACCAATTAAAAATGATTGACTTAAATAAAAAAAAACATTATTTGTAGCAGTTATGTAGCAAAAGCCACAGAAAAATCTGATGACAAAGATGAATATATTTATGCCCTTTAAATGAAAAAGTGTAAAGCGTATTATACTCCCTCATCAAAGCGTACCCATATATTGGAAAGGATCAGTATATGGACCAATATAACGGTGTTTATTATACCATTGTTTATGTTGAATATGTCTGAATTTTTCCATAAAAGAGAGTTAAAAAATTAAATGGCAAAGACATGCTGTAGTATGCAAATAAGCTGTTGAAATATAAGCATTAAAATACATTAAATAATTTGTATCAAGACAAATACATGATGTCCCAGCAATGAGTACCTTGGCAATAGCAGTTTGTTTAAACATGCGAGTAATCAATCCCATGACAGTCTCGGTGGCACCTGAATTTGGAGCTCTCATTAATTTTTCCCACTCCTCAAAACTGGTATTCAATTCCTGTGTGGGAGAAAATAATAATGTTTAGAAATACAACATAAAGAACAGAAAAGCAACTAATGCAATAATGAATTATGTCCTACTCTTTTTTCTTTTTTCTTTGGAAAGATATAAAAAGAAATTCTCAAAGATACCAATGTGTTCATTTAAAAACATCAATATGGGGCGCCTGGGTGGCTCAGTCGGTTGAGTGTCCAACTTCGGCTCAGATCATGATCTCATGGTTTGTGGGTTGGAGCCCACCGTGTTGGGCTCTGTGTTGACAGCTCACAGCCTGGAGCCTGCTTCGGATTCTGTGTCTCCCTCTCTCTGCCCCTCCCCTGCTCGTGCTCTGTCTCTCAAAAATAAACAAACGTTAAAAAAAACCCTTTTTTAAAACATCAATATGGAGACAGGTCAGTCACATGTTCACACCAATGGCAAAAACCAATGAAAAGCTGTGGGTGAAAAGCCAAGCCCTTTGCTAATACCATAAATCAAACAATGGGAGCTTCCCCATATGGAAAAACATTTTGTAAAGTAAAAATAAAAGTCTGCATACATAAGAAAGGAAAATAGTGAAAATATATACAGCAGCAGGTATTTTGATAAAGAAATCGGATTTCATTTAAGTAAGCATAAAGACTTGAGGAATATTAGCAAAATAAAAATGTAACATAGTCACATATTGACTCTTATTTTCCTTTCTTTTTTTTAATGTCTATTTATTTATTTTGAGAGAGAGAGAGTGTATGCGTGTGAGGAGGGGAGGGGCAGAGAGAGGGAGAGAGACAGAATCCCTAGCAGGTTCCATGCTGACAGCATACAGCCCAATACATGACCCAATACATGAGCCGTGAGATCATTACCTCAGCTAAAATCAAGAGTGTGATGCCTAACTGACTGAGTCAAGCAGGTACCCCTGTTTTTCTTTCTAATGCTAACATAATGGATAAAGAAAATCAGATCATTTTATTTTACCAATAACATATTGCTCAATGTTTACAAAATGTCTACCTTAAGCTTTCAAGATAAAACAACGTAATGAATAGTCGTTGTCGACAAAGTCTTGTCCAGATTTAAAGCAATTTCAGAGAATATATAAGCATTGCACTCCCTAAAAGTAAATGTAGGTCAGGATTTCTAAGGACCTTCACATCTTCCATCATGATCACAGTTTTAAGATCTCAAGAAGCCTACCTCCAATTTACTCTAGAAGATAGCTCAAACTTGAAAAAAATCCTAGAGCAAGAAACACAACTCCCTTCCTAATTATTGGGCTTCACACCCTACAGATCCTTAGAATTCTTAATACTAAATTTTTGTTGCAATTGAAGTGCTTTTTTTCTATAGTGAGCAGAAATTTTTTTCCATCAGTAGGATACTGAATCTTTTCACATTATTTGATGACTGAAGTTAATTACTTCCTGTTCTTGTCTTAAAATGATACAAAGTCAGTTCATATGTTCTATTAATTAAACCTATTTTAAGAAAGCAGACTTTTCCTTCTATGAAATATCAATCTGTACAATCTTTCATAGTATAATTTAAAATGACTTAAAGTAAGACTTCCAATTGGGACACTTGAGTTGGTCAGTTGGTTAAGTGTCCGACTCTTAAGTTTCAGCTCAGGTCATGATCTCATGGATCATGAGTTCAAGACCCGCATCAGGCTCTGCACTGACAGATTCTCTCTCTTTCCCTCTCTCTCTGCCCCTCCCCTGCTCACACACACACACACACACACACACTCTCTCTCTCTCAAAATAAATAAACTTTAAAAAAAAAATTAAAAAAGAAAAAAGACTTCCAATCAAACACATGTTCTTACCTTGGCAGCTGCTGATGGAAGATCAAAGGGAATCCGCTGCCTGACTTTAGGGGGCAGCTGGGTTAAAACATCAGTCTTCAATCTTCTAATCATTATGTCACTTAGTAGATGATGAAGTTCATTCAGATTTGATGCCCCTCTATAATCCCACTGAGGCCTTTTACCAAAAAATCTGTTAACATGCAGAAAAATTATGTTGCAAAGCTGACTGTTAGATCAGGAAAACAATTTTTCCAGGGTTTTTTTTTTTTCCTTTTAATGATAAGGAGCCACGACACTGTTTTTACTGTTATTTCTGAATGCAAATTAGTTTCTAAAAGCTCAGCTTGAGAAATAGTAATGAGTAAGATTACATATTACTCTCAGCCACAGAAAATGTTAATTGTCTAACATACTGCTTATGCTGAGTTAATGCAAGACTAGAATGAACTGATAACTTTAACTACCACTGGGATTTTGGGTGGGCTCACAAATGGCAGTGTGCTAAACAGATCTAGCCCCATGTAGGCACTACTTGCCAGTGTACCAGCTAGTCTACATAACAATCAAACCAACTAGAACACTGCCATAATCTCTAAGAGAAGGTATCTCCCACTCTGCTGTTAAGCATAACAGATTCATCACTTGGCGATCTCTTCTTCCTTTGAAACCACTGGACAGACAGTAAAGGAAATTAAAAAAAAAAAAAAAAAGACACAAACCCACTATGAAGAGAGGAGGGGAGAGAAAAAAATCATAGGATAAAAAAAAAATCTCAACATATATTTGTAAGTCAATGCTGACAGACCAATGGTAGCTAATTTGGCAAAAGCAAAGAAACCACAACTTAAAGTGCTTGCAGAAGTGAACAGTGAACACATCCTCTAGACCTTTGAGAAGATCAGAAGTTAGAAGAACCAAGCATTGAGGGTGTAAAGAAAAGAGTTGGAATCTACTGGATCTACTGAACCTAGGGATCAAGAGAGCTGGCCTAATAATATCCCCCTATCATGACAACCTAAAAACTACCCACAAAATTCCCAATCATCTTCTAGGGCCCATACTATTGAAGATAGCTGGTAGAGAATAATTAACAACAGGAAAACTCCTGTTAGGTTGTATCATGATTACTGACATTAATATTTAAATGATTATTCATTTTAATGGCATTGTGGTGGTATTTTAGGACAATAGTGTCAATTTGAGAAACTTGAAACTCGTTAACTTTATTTTTTTAATTAAATGTATTTTGATAACAAACATACAAGATTAGTATAGACAACATTAAAAACATGCATTTGCATGTAGAATCAACTAGAAAAGTAGAGTGAATGGATGCAACTACTGTATGATAAAATGAGAGATATTATTTGGTTGTGATCAATAAAAAATTCACTTCTTGTTTATTATTTTTTAATTTTTATTTTGAGGCAGGGGAAGGGCAGAGGGAGAGGGAGATGGAGAATCTTAAGCAGGCTCCCTTGATCTAATGACCTGTGAAATCATGACCTGAATCAAAATCAAGAGTTGGAGGCTTAATCAACTAAGCAACCCAGAAACCCCTCAAATTCACTTGTTATTTAAAAGAAAAACTAAGTGCTGGCATTGTAAAAGAAGAAAAAAAAAGCCTTACTAGATTTATTTATAATTGCTATAAATTATATTATTGAAGTTGACTTCCTTTAATGTCTTATGTCCCCCAAATTTATATTAAAAATTTACATACTAATGAAATTGGAAGAATAGCTTGCCAATACCCAATTATGTCACCATTTTTTCCATTCACAATCATATAATTAGGTACATTTTGACCTCCTGGTAAAAAAAATATATATATACACATATATATATTTAATTATTAAAATATTTTTAAATTTTTAAAAATAATTTAAATTAATAATTTAATTATTAAAATAATTAAAATATCAAAATATACCTATATATCTATATCCAATGTTCAGATATATATATATCCAATGTTCAGAACTACCAATGATAGGAAAAACAGGTTGAATCTTTTGTTTTTTGAGAATGAAATGTTTACAATTAAAATGAATTCTGCACACTCTCCATCTCTGCAATACAGTGTGCAGGTATACAACATGCTAGGTGGAGGTCTTCTGGCACAAGTGTTCCACAATGGCAGGGACAGCACACAGATGTCTTCACACAGGCCAACCACATGGGCCTCACTTGCCTCATCCAGAGCACCAATATTTGTGCTCTGAAAGGGCAAGTCTATTTAGAAGTCAGAGCAATCTAATTTCAGATGGAACTGTATCATAACAGGCAAAGGTTTCCTCACTCCTCCAGGAAAGGAGGCACTATGGAGAGAAGCTTTTATAGCCAGTTGCCTCTGGGGTGCTTTATCACTGATTGATTGCAAGCCCTGTGCCTGGTATGAGCTGTGGTTTAGAGAAATCCTTTCTCCCACCACCCTTTCTCTTTAGGCTGGAGTCAGACTGCTAGAGGTGGCCCTCTTTAGAGTGTTGGCAGGCCACATGCTGCAGAACACCCTGCCTCAAGTTTGGGGTATAAAGGGGAAATGAGATGGGGAGGGGAGGCTAAAAGATATGTCACCTATAAATGTCTGGTCTCTTCCTGCTAAATTTGATGGTAAATACATATACTTTTAGAATAGCCTGTTCTTTTCTTTAAGCAGCTTTACTGAGATGTAATTCATAATGCCATATAATTCACCCACTTACAGTACACAATTCAATGATTTCTCATGTCCTCTCAGTTATGACCAACCATCACCACAGTAAATGTTAGAACGTTTTCAACATCTCAAGAAGGAACCCCATAATCTTTAGCTATCAATCCCTTAACCACTGTCCTGCCCCCAAAACCTAAGCAACCATTAATCCATTTTCTATCTCAAAGGATTTCCCTAAACTTTCATAGACAGAGAATTAATAGTGTATAGTCTCTTGTGACTGTACCCCTCACTTTACTAATTTTGTAATGTTTTCAAGGTTCACCCATGCTGTAGCATATATTCATTTTTTAGGGCTAAATAATATTCCATTATATGGATATACCATCCCATATATCTCTTGACAGACATTTCGGTTGTTTCCAGCTTTTGGCTTTTATAAATAATGTTCCTGAAAGCATTCACGTACAAGTATTTGTTTGGACATATATTTTTCATTACTCTTGGGTATATACCTAGGTGTTGAAAAGCTGAGTCATATGGTACTACATTTAACCATTTGAGAAAGTGCCAGATAGTTTTCCAAAGCAGCTATATCAGATTACATTACCACTAACAGTGTTCAAGGGATCCAATTTTTCCAAAACCTTACCAATACTTGTAATCTGACTTTTTTTTAATGTTTATATTTGAGAGAGAGAGAGAGACAGAGAGAGAGAGCACAAGTGAGGGAGCAGCAGACAGAGAAGGAGACACAGAATCTGAAGCAGGCTCCAGGCTCTGAGCTGTCAGCACAGAGCCTGACACAGGGTTTGAACTCATGAACCATGAGATCATGACCTGAGCCAAAGTCGGACCCTCAATCAACTGAAACACCCAGGCAACCCTAACAAAATGGTCATTTGACTT